AGTAGTACTAGTACTAGTAGTAGTAGTAGTAGTAGTAGTAGTAGTAGCAGGAGTAGTACTAGTAGTAGTAGTAGTAGTAGTAGTAGTAGCAGGAGTAGTAGTAGTAGTAGTAGTAGTAGTAGTACTGGAAGTAGTTGTAGTGGTACTAGTGGGTGGTAGTAGGTGGTAGTGGTGGTAGTGGTGGTGGTGCACCGGCGCCTCATCTTTCTGCAGTGCACATTGATTGTGACAGTCCAGAGCCAATCCACGACCGGCGGGAGACTGATTGAAGCACAACCACATGGCAGCAACAGAAAAAGCCTCTGAGCCTACGAAGGTCTGCAGTAAGCTTTCTCCTCCAAGTTTCAGTGCACAGCACGACCCGACCACTTGTGCTTGCTCGTGAGCTGTCATGATGGATCAAATGGCTGCAGTTCCGTCCACCCGCACGAAGGCTGTGACAGGTCCGATGCCCCCAGAGATGATACCATTTCATCTTGACTAGCAACGCAAAGACTCCGAAACCGGTGGAAGAGGACTAACAAATTCTTGATGTGCCCAAGCCCAGCTACTAATTCCTGTAAGCTGAGGGCAGCCACTGCAAAGGTTCAGGGCGTAGGGCTTGAATCGCAGATACAGTACGCGGTTGGCCTTTTCTTCATGATTGCGCTTCATCTTACGGCTTTCCCAAAGCCGCACCTGCACGAAGACCTCCCCGATGTCGCCTTCAGCCAAGCACGTCTTTCGCGGTCCATTTTTTCCTATCGGAAAAGAACACGATTCTTGCCATGCAGCAGGCCAATCAGAACCTTCCAGATTCAAAGCGGCAGATGAATTCTTGTGTTGATACTTTGGTTGTTTGATTGGTTGATATTTTCCGGTCACGGCGTTGAGGCATTGCCATAACCACTCGCAACATCACAACAGTCACAACAAGCCGCGATCATCTGTATCAGCACCATCATCATCATCATCATCATCATCATCATCGTCATCGTCATCGTTGCATCGTTATATGTCGCAACCCCCATCACACAACAATCGTCATCGATATCGCAACCATCATCAGCATCATCAACAAGGCAGTGGGCGCGTTTGCTGCCGCGAAGGGTCGTTTGTTTTGGGAGTATTTTTAGCGAAAGAGCTGCAGACCTCGATTTTTGTGTGGTTTTGTTGAATGAGAGCTGATTTTTGCTGTTTGGATTTTCGTGGTGTTTCGTTTCTGCTTTTTGAAGCTGTTTCTGGGTATTTGTCGCAAAAACAGTGGTTTTCAGTGTTTCTTTGGTTGACTTTTGAGTTGTTTTAAAAGTTTTTGTGTGGTGTCTGTGCAAAAATGCCGTAAAAACCGTGTTTTATTGTAGCGGGTTGTTGCCACATAACATTGTCATGATCATCCTGACTGCTATCCTCATCATCATCATACGAAAGCAAACCATAAGAAGAAGAAAAGCATAAGCGAATATGAAAAGCCGCATCGCCATGGACGTTGACATCCCCCCCATGGCCCCTCGCCACCCCCCCAAGAAACCAAAAGGAGAGAGAGAAACGACAAGGTAGACAAAAACCCACAGAAGCAAAGCAGCCAAGTTGCAAGCTAAAACGGAAACGGCCCAGACACGGAATTCCGTAAACTCCCATGGAAAAGACATGCGAATGTGCAAAAACCTTGGGTTTTTTTTTGGAACGCACTGTAAAGACAAATGCAAGACCCGAATCGCAGATTTTGTGTCCAAACTGCAACATGCCAAAACTCGAGTTCTGGCAAATTGCAGTTCCGAAATCGACACACCCTTCGCGGCGGCATACGCGCCAAATGCCATCAACAACAACGACGACAACGACAACGACAACGACAAGAACAACAACAACAACAACAACAACAACAACAACAACAACAACGACCACGACCACGACCACGACCACGACCACGACAAAGAATCAGCATGAGCATCAGCATCATCATCATCATCACCATCACCATCATCATCATCATCACCGTTCGTCTACGTTGTCACCATGTTAGTTTCCATGGCAACCATACGATTTCCTCTGTGCCATGACCGTGGTTCTCCTGCTCTATCTCAACCATGATTCCGACAATCTTGGACAATCTTGCATCATTGGGTAGCCGAATGCGCGCCTGCATGAACAGTGATGTTGGCGTCGTTTGCCAGGAAAAGGTGTGACCTGAGCCAGATGAGCCCCCGAGCATCCTACTCCCCACCAAAGCCCGCTTTTGCCCAACCAGCAAGAATAGCCGCAAACAAAGGGGAACTTTCTGAGAACGGAGCCCGAAAACTCGTGAGCCCTCGAATCTCTGGCGGTGTAATCAAGCCTGCCCCTCTGGACCCTTACTCTAGACCCTAAACCGCAAGCCCGGAAAAGATGGAGCAAAAGCCCGCACGGTGATCCTGAAGGTGGGACCTCTACGCTCGTTACGAAGGGCTTGATATTTTAGGATGCTTCGATCTCGGATTTGCCTTGGCGGTTTTGTGTTAAGTTGGGGAGTGCTTTGCAATTTTAAGTTTGCGGATTTAGGGGACGTGGGTTCTGTAGGGTTCAGAGGATGGGACTTGAGTACAGGTTCTACGGTCTGTCGTGGTTTCTTCGAACCAGGGTTTCCTTTACAGGGGTTCTTGCAACACAAACCCCACAAAACCCCAGCACCCAGAGCCCTCAAACTGCGTGCCTGTTCACTGCGGACTGGAAGCGCTGGACCTCAGGGGCTTCAAGCTTAGTTGCCCTTGTGACCCTAAACCCTAAACCCCCAAAGCCCTAAACCCCTAAAACCCTAAACCCTAAGCCCCTAAAACCCTAAACCCCAAACAGTGGCTTAGTGATTTCGGATCACATGGGCGTTTTTGGGTTTGGGGCTCGGGTTGTGGATGGGGCTTCAAAGTCATCCAGGGAAGATTCATTCTTTCTTGTCAATGGCTTTACAGAGTCTACTCACAGGGCCTGTTGGACTCCTGGGGCTTATTGTATGGGGCTTTGGGCTCGGGGTTAGATGTCTAAGTTTTCTAAACAACTCAGCACTTTCGGAAAGCAAGATTTAATGCTTCTCGCTGACTCTGAACCCCTCGTCACGAGGCTTTCAAACAAATCCTAAGCGTCCAAGGTACGGTGCTCGACTCTGGATTGTACAGGCTTCAGGGACCAGGCAATCAGGAACGAAACTTGATTCCCGAATGTGTTTCCAACCAGCGTTGTGGTGCAAGGTTCATCTCGGTGGCTCCTTGTGTGCTGCAATCAATAGCCATGATCTCCATTTGACAAGTGCTTTCATCGGGGCGGCAACGGTGAGGCATTACTCCAAAAATAAAGTTGGTTCTCGGGTTCACAGTAGTGATGTGGTTTTTAGGGCGTTGTGTTCGGGAGTAAAGGGTACTGTGCAAAAGAGACGCCGCGATGAGCCATGGTAAAGGCACACATCGCTGCGATCGCGATGGACATGTCATCGGTGTTCTGCATTTAAATCTGCATCTCCGGTCAGCCCCTTCTACTTGCCCTCGGAGATGTATAGTGAAGGTTCTGGTCCGGGGTTGGAGGACGGTGGGACAGGGAGCTTCGCTGTAACACCTTGCAGCTTTTGGGCAGGGACCTTGAAGCCCAGAATCGTGGCCTGGAGGAACATTGGGGCTTCCGGACTTCCGGGCATCAGAATTCGTCGGAGATCAGAACCGAACACACTGCTCTCCGTGTGCGGCAACATGCCAATGATAGCAGGCTCATCTCTACGCAGTTCCGAAGCCTGAAGCAAGCCCGACACATTTTGTGGATGCAGAAACCTGGGACCCAGAGTGAAAATCCTCTATGCGCAGACAGCCCTCCAGTAAGCCACTCAAGACAGACCAAACCTACTCGAGGGAACCTGGCAGAAAGCATGACCCGTCTTGCAATGCACCTGTCTTGCGCATGAGCTCTTTTGGATGGAAACGCATATGCCTACGACCAAAGTTTTCGAATGTCGAGGTCCGCACCGAGAGGTTGCTCTTGCCGTCTGCAGACAGGTCACCAGTAACGACATCCACCCAGACCTGTCTCGGCCAAGTACTGATGGTTGAAAAATCTGACAGTCTGAAGCGTTGAAGCTCTGAAACAAAAAATGTCGGGTTCAGGGTCGTTTCGCTTCAGAAGCCTGGAGGCCTCAACCCTGACTTCCAAAACCCCTTCGGAGACCGCCCCTGTTCCTGTTCCAGGGGCCCAACTGCCCCGAAGCTCCAAGGGCTCCCAAACCCTGCGAAGGCCGAAGCAGCGCTGGGGGCAGCTGGGCCGTGCTGGGCGTGGCCCTTTGTGGCTCTAAGCTCTATAAGGGCCTAAGGGCGTGAAGCAGGGCATTGGGGGGACGTGGCGACGGTGAACTTCAGGGCTGTTCCTGAAGGGTTCCTGAACACCGGCCCGGGATTTCGGCTTCTCGGGCTTTGGCTTCGGGCTGGATTTCGGATGCAGGGCTACGGAAGGTGGAGGAGCCGGCTATGGCTTTTGTTTGGGTGACATCCTAGCGGTACCTTGAGGACACATGCCATCTACACCCCGCCGCTGCCTGAGCACCACCAGTCACGGAAACGGAATCAAGTGGCTTCGGCACGAAAAGCCTGAGAACTTCGGGCCAGGCTCTCCCGAATGGCAGCTGCAACTCTTTGCTCAGATCGGGCTTTCGCTTCTTGGCCTAAGGCTTCGGCTGCTTTGCACCCTAAAGACATGCTGTCTGGACTCTGTTGTTGCAGTGGTTCTAGTTCAGGGTCCCCTAGAAAGAAGAAAGCACACGTGCTCAAAACATTCCTGATGGGCACAAAACCATGCGATGCATTCCTCGTATTAGTACTGCTCGTGCCTGTTCGGGATTCCTCCGGGTTTTAGCCGTTGCATGTTTTGGCCTTCTGCAAGATTGCAGCTTCGTAGCGTATGAATCGGAGCTTGGATGAAGAGTTCAATGGGCCGGTGCTGAAGTGGCTGGGTCATGAGGACCACATTGTGAAGGCGGCAGAAGGATTCGGGCTTGCACGGAAGACTTTGAAAGTCAGGGACAAGAAGTCCAGGATAGAGAAGGCTACAGTCTGCAATTGGAGCAGGCTCTCCTTTCAGCACGTCTCACCCTCCCGCGGTTCTGAGGGAGCCGCGTTGCTACCTGACCGCCCGCCGGCCAGGAGAAGTCTTGCCTGCAAGGGGCTTTCGGGGGCTCAGAGTCGGGCTGTCCTCAAAGGGAGCTTTCCCATCTAGTCGAACATCTAAACTTCCACGGAGACCCTAGATCTATCTCAGAAAGTTAGGAGGATGGTTGGGCAAGGTTGCCTCGAAGAGCGAAGAGCGAGCAAAAGTCGGTAAACTCATCGGGAGGTGGCAAAATTGACGGGCTGAGGCCCGGAACTTTGGGTGAAAACCCGAAGACCAGCCTACACAACCCCCGAAGACCCTTCATAGAGAAAGGAGGACCGTCGAAACGAAACAGGCGGCTCAGAGCCTAACGCTCGGACAGGAGCCAAGAGACCCTAAACCCTAAACCCTAAACCCTAAACCCTAAACCGACGCTCGGACAGGAGCCAAGAGGGTGCCGGCGTGCCCGGGCTCGGCCTCGCAGCGCGTTCGTCCATGCCCAAGAGAAGCGTGGACCCGAAGGTCATGGGCTGAACCTGCAGAGAGGGTTTAGGGTTTAGGGTTTAAGGTTTAGGGTTTAGGCTTTAGGGTCTAGGGTGTAATATTTAAGGTTTAGGGTATAGGGTTTAGGGTTTAAGGTTTAGCCTTGGTGCCTACTAGTGAGTGCCAGT